CTTGGGGTCGTGCTGGGCTGGCACCCTGGGCCTGCCCCTCTGCCCAGCTCCCACAGGGGCTGAGACCACAACCTGGGGTCCTTTTCCCAAAATGCCCTCTGTCAATGTCTGTCTGCCCGTCTCTTTTCCATCTCCCTGGCCCACTTGCCTCACTGTCTCTGGCTTGCTGGCTCTCTTTCTGAGTCTCTCTCTCTCTGTGTCTCTCCCTGACTCCTCTCATTCTCCTCTTCCCCCTCAGAATCACTTCCTCAGAGGTGGAAACCATTTGGGGGTGTCAGGAGGGATAGGCCCACGTGCTCCTGGCCCAGCAGCCAACCCCCCACCCCCGACATGGGGAGGGCTGGTGGGCTGCTCCAAGGTGTCTGCTCTGAGTGGCTCCTCTTGCCTGCCCTTCACACCTGCCAGATCTGTCTAACCCATGGGGACTTTTGGCCGCCCACCCAGAAGGTCCTCTCACTTGGCAAACCCTGTTCCTAGACCCTTGCCCACCAAGCATCCCCCTTACCAGCCTAGAAGTTCCACTACCGGTGACTTCGGGTTTAAATGAAGAAGAGTCCCTAGTAACTGCATCCCAACATTTAACAACATTAAACATCAGTCACTTTGGTATGAATGAGCCAACAGCTTCTCCCTCTACCCCTAGCCAGGTGGATGCTGCCTGAGGATTCACTGGCCCATTTTTGCAGGAGGAGAGGTGTGGAAAGAGACGCAGAATGAGGGGTGAGGGGCCCCAACAAAGGTACGCGGGGCAGAAAGGAGGGGACTTGGGGGAAGGGAGCAGAGGAAGGAAAGTGGGACAAACCTTAAGGAGAAGGCCTCTCATTTGTCCATTCCTTCACAGGAGAGACCCCAAGTCTTGTATCACCCCATTTTCCAGATGGGGGGACTGAGGCCTGAGAAAAGGGACTCCCTCTAGAGCAGCGGCCGCCAACCTTTCGGACCTCACGGGCCACCCGTGGTCCTCGGACCACTGGTTGGTGACCTCTGCTCTAGGGCACACTGAACATCGCGGTCTCCTAACTCCAAACACAGGCACCCTGTCCTGCCACGCCTGCTGTGCCCTGCCCTGTCCTCCCCCAACCCCAAGAGTGCAGGCCTCTCCCCCGAGGATTCCCGAGGAGGGCAGGAAGGCCTCTCAGAGCCCTAATTTATGATTTTCTGGCAGCTTCCTTCCTCCCATGACTCCCTTCCAGCCCCAGTCCCAGCTCCGGCAGGAAGGAATGAGCTGGGTGAGAAGGGCAGCTCCATGGAGCATAAATAACTTGGCCCGGCAGCTGCAGGCTCTCTGGGACCCCCCAGCTCCCCTGCTGTGGCCCCACGGGGTGTCCCCTGCTCTGGGATGGAGGGCCAGGCCTCCAGATGAAAGGCACAGAAAGCGGGCATTGTTCCCCAACCTAGAAGCCCGGGCAGGCCCCGCCCTCCGGCCAGCCCTTTGTCTGGGCGGACGCTTTCTTTGAAGGCCACCGGCCCCTTCCCTCTCATGATATCGGGGCTGCTGCCACAGGCTCGGGTCCCCGGGGGCTGCCACCACGGGCTCTGGCAATACCCAGCACCCTTGGGCTGCTTCCTCGCCTGCACAATGGGCACGCTATGGGTACGGATCAGGTGGAGGGCCTGCGCTCACACAGACGGGCGTGTGAACAGGGCTGATGAGGGCACCTGAGCTGGGAGGCTGTCCTGTGGGACGCAGGCAGAGGAGTGAGGCACATGGTGCGGCCCCGTGGGAGGTGACAGAGGAAGGAGGCTGTGACCCAGGTTTGTTTGCTGTGGGGAGAGCAGCATTTCCTGTTTGGACTAGACCAGGGTGGATGTGTCAGTGAGTCCACACCAGAAGGCCTGCTGGGGGAGGGTGTGTGTGTGTCTGCGCGCACACGTCCGCGTCCATGTCCCTGTGTGGTCCATGTGTTCTCTCTCACCTCATCAGCTCCCAGACAGAAGTCTAAACCTGAGTTGAGTTCTCATTTTTACCCCCAAAGAAGTCCCCCTGAGGGGCTCAGCCAGAGGGAGGCAGTGTGGCTCAGTGGGTAGCCATCCATCACCAGCTGTGGGCCGGGGCCAGCCCCACACCTGGGGATAATAAGGCGCCCCCTCGCTCCCCAGTGGCCGAGAGGAAGGAGGGCTGGAGACAATGCAAGCAAAATGCTTAGCACAGCGCCTGGCACAGCCAGAGCTCAGGACCGGAAGCTGCTGACCTTACTGGCGGTTGTGGTCTGGTCTTGGCAGCAGAGAGAACCAGCCCCCAGGGAGGAGGCCCCGCCCACAGGGACAGGCCTGAGACCTCAAGCTGGGGAGCGGGGGAGCCCTCTCCTCCCTGTCTCAGCAAATTCTGAAACCTCAAATGACCAAGACCCAGGTCCCCGAGGCATTTCCTGCCCTTCCTCCAGGGAGGAAAGAGGAGCAGAAAACAGGCTGACATCCCCCAGGAAAGGCGCCCTTGGAAAGGGGCTCTGGGCTGTGCCCATGGGGAGACCCACAGCCTTCTTTCTACTTTCCCCGGACTCTTGAGCCAGAGGGATCTTTAAAAAGGTCCTAGGACTTTTTTTTTTTCTTCAGGCAAGGACCTGAGGCTCAGAGTTGGGGAGGTCCCTTGTCCCAGGTCACAGAGGAATCGACATCTAGGCCTCTGGGGTGTTGAGCCTGTGCAGTAACCACCAGGCTACACCATCACGGGGTGTGACTGTAGTCGTAAATATATGCCCTGGGCAAAGGGGTCCCAGCCTCAGCAAGGACAGGATCCCCTCTGATGTCAAATGTTGACAACAGCTTTTACTGAGAGGGTCCCTTGATGGAGAAACTGCACAGTGGCCTGAAGCCCCCATGAGTTTGAGGGTAAAGGAACGTGTACGCCATGAATCACAGGAGCATCTCGAACATGTTGCAAGCAGGCCCGGCAGGGTGCCTCCTCATCCTGTGGTACCCAGCGGCGGTCCCAGTCACCTCGCAGGCCCTCCCAGACCCTCCCCAGGACAGAAGCCACTGCCCAGCCCTTCTCCTTCCTCAGGAGCCGCCTGCCCCTCCAAGTGCCCTTTGGAAAGATGGTTTTTGACCCCAGTCACTTGACCAGGCTGAAGACAGGCCTGGGAGTCTCTGAGGAGAGGGCCTTGAGAAGGACACTTCCTCCAAGGGACTAAGTCACTGATCTGGTTCTATCAAAAACAGGGGCTGCCCAAAACGGGGTGTGGCTCAGTGGTTGGAGCATCAACCCGTGCACCAAAGGGTCTTGGGTTCGATTCCTCGTCCGGGGCACATACCTGGATTGCAGGTTCAATCCCCAGCCCCAGTTGGGGCACATGTGGGAGGCAACCAATCAATGTAGCTCATCAATATTTCTCTCCCTCCTCCCCTCCCACTCTCTCTAAAAACATCAGTGGAAAAAATATCCTCAGGTGAGGATTAATAAAAACAAAACAAAAAAACAAGGGCTACAGAGAGGCACAAAGCTGCATTTCTTGGGGTTCAGTTAGGTGGCACATAGTAGGTGCCCAAAACTCACACGTGGAAGGGAGGGAGGGAGCTTCCCCAGGGGCCAAAGCGGGCACCGTGATGATGTCCTTGAAGCAAGTGGGTGCCCTTGGGGGACGATGTGAAGCCGGAGAATGTGGGATCAGGGCGCTACCGTGATATCTGCCCACACACCCATCCGGAACCTGCAACTGTCCTCCTCACAAAGAGAAACTGAGGCTCAGAGAAGGGCAGGGCTCACCCAACTAACTCGGGGAGAGGCGGCCGAGGCGGGGTCTGAACCCAGCTCTCACCACCTACCCACCCCCTCAGGGCGCACCCTCCCTTGTCCTGACGCAGGCCCGGTACCTGGTGCTACCAGCCCTGGTGAGTCCAGGAGGCAGCCCTGGAAAATCAGAGGGAGGGGCTGGCAGATCCTTCCCGCTGGCGTGTTTCTAGCAGAAATCTTGGATCTGAACAAACCCACGGCAGGATTCTGAGGGACAGGCCCCCAGTCACCACCAAGCTGGACAGGGGGCTCCCCGGCCCAGGACTGCCTGCAGCTCGTCAATCCGGGCAGAAGGGGGTTAGACTGTCCTGGAGTTTTGGAGGGTCTGGGCCCCTCTGATGAGAGAGCTGTGGTCTCTTCATAAACACACACCCATCATGCCTGTGCGCACACACACACACATACTCTCACATCACACACATTTGCGTACACCTTGGTGGTATTCACAGCCCTCTCCCCAGAGGCTCGCTCATCCATGAACCCCAGATGAAGAAACCCCACTCTCAGCCAGTCCTGACCTTGTCACAGACGGGAAAACCGAGCCCCAGACCAATGCGCTGTCTACATTCTTTCCTAAACGTGCTGAAGAGCTGACCCCTCTGAAGTCAGATCTCTGTTCAAAACCTAGCTCCTCCAACCACAGGGGGAGGGCTTTAGGCCAATGATGTTTCCTCTCTGTGCCTCAGCTTCTCCGTCTGTAATATGGCGATGAGTGGACACTGACCTTATGGGATCAACCCAGGTCTTCTCCTCCCAGGGGAGTATGAGTGTCTGGGCCTCAGTTTTCGCCTCTGTAAAATGGGGATAGCTGTGCCCACCTCTCCCAGCGTGGTTTGAAAATTAAACCAAAATGGGCTGTGAAGCAGAGGTGGCACTCACTGCTCAGGAAGCCTTGGTTGCAGGATGGACAGATCCGGCTCCCCGGAGCCTCAGGAACTGGATCCCTCAAAAAAGAGGGAGGAGCCCTGTCCGGGGCTCAGTGATTAGAGCGTGGGCACTGAAGGGTCTCGGGTTCAATTCCCCGTCAAGGGCATGCACCTGGGTTGCAGGTTTGATCCAGGCGCCTGCAAGAGGCAACCAGTCGATCTGTCTCTCTCATCTCTCTCTCTCTCTCTTCCCACCCACCCCCGCTTCACTTTCTCTAAAAATCAATGGAAAAAATATCTTCGGGTGAGGATTAACAAAAAAAAGAAGAAGAAGAAAGAAAAAAAAAAGAGGAAAGAGAAAGAAAAAGGTGAAGAGGCTCCCGCATCATTCGTTCAAGCTTGGCGACCTGGGGTCCTGGATGCGCCTGGGACCGCGGCCAGGACTCAGCCCCCCGGCCCTGCAACATGTACCAGGGCATCTCCGCACCGGTACCCCGCCCCCAAAAGGACCACGCGGTGCCGAGCGCCCAGGATCAGGTGGGCACCCTGGCGGGCACTCCTGGCGGGGGCGCCCGGCCCCCCGGGGTTCCTTTCCGGGTTGACAGCGTCGGCGCAGGGGCGGGGAGCTGAGCCGAGGGGGCCGGCCCGAGTTCGGTATGCGCGACCCCGTTTCGTGTCCGCATTACATTCTAGTTTTT